ATGCATTTTACATTTGATGCTTTCTCCAGTGCTTTTTGCAGTTTGTTTTGCGTTTTTTATACACGTGTTTTTTTTTTCACGTTTTTACTGTGTCTTGTTCAGTTCTTTTTTTTTTTTTTCTGTTAAAGTGGAATTTTTTTGTTGCTGGGCAGAATAGAAATGCAAAACGTGGCAAAACGCACTACCATGCATTTCAGCAGCTTCTCCATTGAACTCTATTGTAGCAAAAATGCTGCTTTTTGCTTTTAAAAAAAGCAGCAGCTCAAAAAAAGTATATGCAAACATATTCCATAGGAAACCATGTTAAATGGACTTTAGTGCGTTTTTTCCAAAAAGCACTAAAAAACCCATTGGTGTGAGCAGAGCCTTAAATACACTGACCCTGACATTTGACTCTGACCATGACCTTTGATCCTAGCCCTAACCCTGTCAGGTTGAACCCTGATGTAGGTATTTTATTGTTTACACTTTTTTCATCTTGCAAGAATACAATTTATCTTTTTCTCCCTTCAAGAGGAGAAATAACAAAGTGGTGGGCTGTACAGTGACTGATCACTGTATTAGCAGGTCAGAGGTTATCACAGCGATCAAGTGAACAGGAACTGAGCCTCCTGGTTACCGGATCCTTAGTAGGAGACCCTAAGATCTCGGTGACCTCTTGTTCTCTGTGCTGGGAATGTGCTGTGCAGTGTGCTCTCAGCACAAACACAGTAGCACATATATGTTGCCCCACAGATAAAAGTCCACCTCTCTGAGGATACATACAGTTGTGTTCAAAATAATAGCAGTCAGACATCACTAACCTGATCAATCACTGTTTTTGGTAGAAATTATATTTCTACATGGCAAATAATTTACTAGCAGGTGTAGTAGAGTAATAGAAATCCAACAGACCCAACAGTCATGACATGCATGCTGCTGATTCTATGTAATTGAATCACTAATTGAAAGGGGCATGTTCAAAATAATAGCAGTGTGGCGTTCTATTAGTGAGGTCATTCATTTTTTGAAAAACAGGTGGCAATTATTGCCCTTATTTAAGGAAGGAAGGCAGCAAATGTTGTACATGCTGGTTACAGTGCATTTCTCTCTGAAATTCTGAGGAAAATGGGTCGTTCCAGACATTGTTCAGAAGAACAGCGTACCTTGATTAAAAAGTTGATTGGAGAGGGGAAAACATATATAGAAGTGCAGAAAATGATAGGCTGCTTAGCTAAAATGATCGCAAATGCTTTAAAATGGCAACCAAAACCTGAAAGACGTGGAAGAAAGCGAAATACTACCATTCAAATGGATAGAAGAATAGCCAAAATGGCAAGGACTCAGCCAACAATCAGCTCCAGGAAGATCAAAGGTCTAAAGTTACCTGTGAGTACTGTTACAATTAGAAGACGCCTATGTAAAGCCAAGCCAAGCAAGAAGCCCCCGCAAAGTCCCACTGTTGAAAAAAAGATGAGCTGAAGAGGTTACAATTTGCCAAAGAGCACATTGACTGGCCTAAAGAGAAATGGCGCAACATTTTGTGGACTGATGAAAGTAAGATTGTGAAGCATGGTTGCGCAAGCATCATGATATGGGGATGTTTCTCATACTACGGTGTTGGGCCTATTGATCGTATACCAGGGATCATGGATCAGTTTGAATACAGTTGCAAGAAAAAGTATGTGAACCCCTTGGGATTACGTGGAGTTTTGCATGATTTGGGCATAAAATGTGCTCTGAACGTCATCTAAGTCACAACAATAGAAGAACACAGTCTGCTGAACATAATACTACACAAACATTAGATGTTGCCATGGTTTAATTGCACATAACATGCAAACATTCACAGTGCAGGGAGGAAAAAGTATGTGAACCTTTGGACTTAATAACTGGTTGACCCTCCTTTGGCAGCAATAACCTCAACCAAATGTTTCCTATAGTTGCAGATCAGACCTGCACAACAATCTGGAGTAATTTTGGACCACTCCTCTTCACAAAACTGTTTCAGTGTAGCAATATTCTTGGGATGTCTGGTGTGAATCGCTCTCTTAAGGTCATGCCACAGCATTTCAATCGGGTTGAGGTCAGGACTCTGACTGGTCCACTCCAGAAGGCGTATTCTGTGCTGTTGCAGCCATTGTTTTGTTGAATTACTTGTATGCTTTGGGTCATTGTCCTGTTGCATCACCCATCCTCTGCGGAGCTTCAGTTGGCGGACAGATGGTCATATGTTTTCCTGCAAAATGTCTTGATAAATTCTGGAATTCATTTTCCCATCAATGACAACAATCCGTCCAGGCCCTGAGGCAGCAAAGCAGCCCCAAACCATGATGCTCCCTCCACCATGTTTTACAGTGGGGATGAGGTTTTGATGTTGGTGTGCTGTGCCTTTTTTTCTCCCCACATAGTGTTGTGTGTTCTTCCCAAACAACTCAGTCTTGGTTTCATCTGTCCACAGTATATTTTGCCAGTAGTGCTGTGGAACATCAAGGTGGTCTTTTGCAAACTTCAAACGTGCTGCAATATTCTTTTTGGACAGCAGTGGCTTCCTCCGTGGTGTCCTCCCATGTACTCCATTCTTGTTTAATGTTTTCCTTATTGTAGATGTGTCAACAAAAATGTTAGCATGTGCCAGAGATTTCTGTAGGTCTTTAGCTGACACTCTGGGATTCTTCTTTACCTCATGCAGCATTCTGCGCTGTGCTCTTTTAGTCATTTTTACAGGACAACCACGCCTAGGGAGAGTAGCAACAGTGCTAAACTTTCTCCATTTGTAGACAGTCTGTCTTACCGTGGACACATGAACATCAAGGCTTTTGGAGATACTTTTGAAACCCTTTCCAACTTCATGCAAGTCAACAATTCTTGATCGTAGGTCTTCTGACAGCTCTTTTCTGCGAGGCATGGTTCACATCAGACAGTGCTTCTTGAAACCAGTAAACCCAAAACAGGTGTGTGTTTTTTAAGGGCAGGACAGCTGTCAGCAACACCTCCAATATCATCACACTGAGTGGAGTTAAGTTTGGCTCACTCCTGGCTCCAATTAGCTCTGGGAGAAGTCATTAAGCTAGGGCCTCACATACTTTTTCCTCCCTGCACTGTGAATGTTTACATGTTATGTGCAATTAAACCATGGCAACATCTAATGTTTGTGTAGTAATATTTCAGCCAACTGTGTTCTTCTATTGTTGCGACTTAGAATTACGTTCAGAGCACATTTTATGCCCAATTTATGCAAAACTCCACGTAATCCCAAGGGGTTCACATACTTTTTCTTGCAACTGTACATCAGAATACTTGAAGAGGTCATGCTGCCTTATGCTGAAGAGGAAATGCCCTTGAAATGGGTGTTCCAACAAGACAACGACCCCAAACACACCAGTAAACGTGCAACATCTTGGTTCCAGACCAACAAGATTGACATTATGGAGTGGCCAGCCCAATCCCCGGATCTTAATCCAATAGAAAACTTGTGGGGTGACATCAAAAATGCAGTTTCTGAGAAACCAAGAAATAGAGAAGAACTGTGGAATGTAGTCCAATCATCCTGGGCTGGAATACCTGTTCACAGGTGCCAGAAGTTGGTTGACTCCATGCATCACAGATGTACAGCAGTTCTCAGAAACAGTGCTTATACAACTAAATATTAATTAAGTGATTCAAAGGAAAGCAAAATCTTCAAACATTTTTCAGTTTATATAGTGAATGTTTGAGTTTGTAAAGAAGAATACAAACACTGCTATTTTTTTGAACAGTCTAATATTCGCTTTTCTTAAATTTTTTTAGAGCAACAACACAAATTTGATATATTTTTCTTCATGTTTTGATTTGGAATAGAATGTGTAGTGTTCCCAATGCATTTGTGTGTATGGAAATAAAAGCTATTAGAAGGATTTTGAGCTTTATTCACTTTTTTCAACACACTGCTATTATTTTGAACACAACTGTATATGTGTACGCTTGGTGCGGAGGAGTTAACATGCTTTCTTATGTAAGTTATAGGGCAGATATGTGTGGAACTGGTATGGAAATGTGTCCCTAGCCAGATTTACTAATGGTCAGTAAATTGTCAATGGGTATTCACATGTGGAATTTACCTAGAGGTAGTTGTGTCCGGGAACTCCTAACCCAAAGACCATACTGAAGGCTCAAAATGGCTGCTGATGCTCATGGCTGCAGGTCCTATGTGCATTGGTATTAAGAGATTAATTGGGCATGTTTTGAAATGCTCTGTATCTTTTCTTTTTCCTTCTCCTCCTCCACCTCCTCCTCCGTTCTGTCTGCTGTCAGGAATAATGAGCACAATAAATCTCTGAATCCCAGCTCCTTGGTCAGAATGAACAAGTAAGGGTACATCATAAGAAAGTGATTAGCCAACTGTTACAAGCCACAGCTGGGGACACAGGAGGCAAGTCAAATGCCCTATTACAGTTATAAGTGTCAGAATAAGACAGACATACACAGAGGGGTGTTTGTAGAATTTGGGATTAGTGTGTAGTTATATTCCAAATCTCAAATTCAGTTTTATGATATAGAGGTTAATGCAAAAAAAAAACCACTAGTGAATAAAATGCTTGCTTTAGCATTCTGTTCTGACCATAAAATGGTAGCTTCTATGAGCAATACTGCCATGTGTACTTTCCTGTAGATTTTGTATAGCAGCTCTAATATTTTATATTTCTCTGTACATGAAGTGAGTTTGGCTGGATAAACATTGTCTCACTGTGAATGGCATGGAAATGATTGGAGCAGAGAACCTGTTGAGGGCTATGTCACACCTGTTGTTGTCAGCCACTGTAGCACCAGTACTAGGGTATAATGCTGAGATTGCTTTGCATGTTTTTAATTATTCGTAGTGTGCATCTTCAGAATGAAATCATTAAATCGTCTTGTGTACAACCAGATGTGTATGTATTGACACCCAATTTATTTTCCAAACGTTAACACAATAAAGTCAGCAGATAATGAATGATAACATTATATGACAGAATAACGAACTTCCTTTTCTTACAATGCAGGATCGGGGAGCCGGAAGAGTGTGCCGGAGTAGTATCTTTCCTCTGCTCTCCTGAGGCCTCATATATAACTGGAGAGACAGTAGTAGTTGCAGGAGGGGGGCACTCTCGTCTATGAAAAATTCATTTATCTTTATGTTGCACCATTCAGCGTGTCGTGTCCAAACAATAAATATTACAATTTTCTACACGTCCATTTTTTATCATGTAGTTGGACTCTTGGTAATTGCATTGTGAAAATAATTTCCTGAGAATATGGTGCCACTTCATACAGTAACACTGATGGAATTGAAGAAAAACATCAATAGGCCACGTTCAGCCTGTATGTGATTAAGTGACAAGCTGATTTATGTCACCAGGGTTTACTTACAGAATGTCAATTATGTCTGATTAATGTGTACTCCTGCCCACCCACATTCTACTAATGCTACCATTGTTGGCCTTTGTAAATTTATGGCAGACACACCTCAGAAATCTATCATGTATTTTCTTATTAATAAAACCTTTATGAAGAAAAATGTTTAGACTTCTTTTTTTCTATATGAAGGTTTAGTTTAAAAAGAATCTCTGAGCTTGGCTGCTACCCTATACAATGGAACATAGCTGAAGCTTGTGCTAACAGGCACCCTTGACCCAGATCATTTTGGTAAAATTGGACCAAGAGGTACAAAGCAAGTAGAGCATTGTTTCAAATACAGTAGTGCATGCTCTCCTCAAGGCCACTGGGTACAGACCGATATTATAAAATAGAGTTTGCCCTATTGTTCTCCACCCTTTCTCATTCTATGGGAACAGTTTGCCTTTATGCTGTGAGGATAGAATGTTTCTTTTTTTAAAATATACTGTTACCAGTGTTTTCCACAATAGAATTGACAGGTCACTGCCACTAGTCTTTATACAATGAAAATGGTGACTGTTAGATACCATACAGATCCCTTGTGATGTCTTTATCCTAATGTGGGCTGCTTCTTAAATAGGTTGAACATTTGTCATCTTTACCTGCCATCAGCAAACACTAGTCAGAGACTAGGCTGCCTATGACTAAACCTGCCTGCTATTTGGTTTAGATTTGCAGGATTGCAGTTTGCTGCTCACTGGGTTAAGCATACATCTGTTTAGAATTCTGGTGGCTGTTTTGGTCTTTTAACCTTTCTAAACTCTAGCCAAAATTAAACAAAAAAGCCTTGGCTTTAGATATAACTTTAGGTAGAGCTTCAGCAAAAACAATGGCTCATTAAAAGAAAAGAGTAGCTTTTGCTGCAGTACTCTTTCAATTTGACCTCAGTACTTCCTTTCCTCCACTAGATGTCTGCAGCCTTCCATGTTGTATGAATGCCCAGCATCAGTAAGTTCACTTCCTCTGAGCCCAGGCTGTTATAGATCAACTCTCAGGTTGTGATTGGACAGTGAAAAGGAAGAAACAGTGATGAGCTCATCTTGCTTGCTACCTGTGCTATTTTTTGTTTCCTGTTCTAGCTGTGCTGTACAGGAATTGGAAGAGGTTTATACCAAGTTAAATTCAGGTACTCACACTGCTTACATTTATACCTTTTGCTGCCGCTAATATAACTAATATTCAGATGCATGCGTATACGAAAAGAATGATTGCATTACACAAGTTGATGAGCTGTAAAATCTTTTAAAGCATTGCATATGGACAATTTGGGGTACTGTAGTATTTTCACAATTTTGCAGTCTTGTTCAATTTTGAGACTTGACAGGTTCAGTATCTGTTTGCTCGAAAATGCTTTCAGAAAATATATAATGTTTGGGGGGTTTTAAGTAATCTTCAGGCCTAAAACATGTATTTTAGCATGTGCAAAAATTAAAAAAAATCTGTTCTGACAGCAGATTGGTTAATAAAACACATTTAATAAAACATTAATGAATGCAGAACTGCACTAATGTGTGTCATATCTGCCTCAAGTTCAGATGGAATGACAGTTTCCTAAAGCACAGTGTATAATAATCAGTTACATTTTTTTATGTATGTAATTGTTTTTTTCTTCCTTTGTTGCATCTCAGCGCTGCTTATCATCTTCAGCCACTTTGAGGGCCCTTTTGTGGTTAGATGAACCTTTTTCTAGCGATGACTGCATGGCATTCCTCAGAGCAGGTTTCCTGATGGTGACAATAGTGAACCACACCTGTGTAATGTGTGCTTACATGGTCATTGTAGTCTCTTTTGGAAGCCCATGTGACAGGGTGGCAATACACGCACCTGGGAGACAGAGACAGCCTATAACAGGAACTGCTTGAACCTTTGTGGCAAGATCCAGACAATAACCTCCTTGACCCTCTACAGTCCGGCTTCCGTCCCCTACACTCCACTGAAACTGCCCTCCTCAAAATCACTAACGACCTACTCAACGCCAAAGCCAAGGGCGACTACTCTGTCCTCCTTCTCCTGGACCTCTCTGCGGCCTTCGACACAGTTGACCACCCCCTCCTCCTTAATAAACTACTCTCCCTTGGCATCGGAGATACTGCTCTCTCTTGGTTCTCATCCTACCTATCCCGACGCTCCTTCAGTGTCACCTACAATGGTGCCACCTCCCCCTCCCTCCCCCCTCTCTGTTGGGGTCCCCCTAAGGCTCTGTCCTTGGACCCCTTCTCTTCTCCATCTACACCTCCTCCCTGGGCAAACTCATACAATCTCACGGCTTCAACTATCACCTCTATGCTGACGACACCCAAATCTACCTCTCCACCCCTCACCTCACCCCCACTATCTCTGCCCGCATCACTCACCTCCTAAATGACATCTCAGACTGGATGTCGCTACACTTCCTCAAGCTCAACCTCTCCAAAACCGAGCTTCTCGTCTTTCCCCCTGCCCAACACCCCCCCCCCCATCCTATCCATCATCACCAACAACTCCACTATCACTTCCGCCCCGCAAGCCAAAGTCCTTGGCGTCATTCTTGACGCGAACCTCTCCCTCCAACCGCATGTCAAATCACTCACAAACACATGCAGGCTCCATCTTCGCAACATTGCCAAGATACGCTCCTTCCTCACCCCAGACACCACCAAACTTCTAGTACACTCCCTCATCATCTCACGCCTTGACTACTGCAACTCCCTCCTCACTGGCCTACCCAAGTGCAGGCTCTCCCCGCTCCAGACCATCCTGAACTCAGCTGCCAGACTCATCCACCTCACCACCCGCTCCACCTCTGCCACCCCCCTCTGCCTCTCCCTCCACTGGCTCCCGATTGCCCAACGCATCAAATTTAAACTCCTAACCCTGACCTACAAAGCCGTTCACAACACTGCCCCTGACTACCTCACCAACCTTATCACCAAGTACCACCCTACCCGTACCCTTCGCTCCTCACAGGACCTCCTTCTATCCTGCTCCCTGGTCTCCTCCTCCCATGCACGACTGCAGGACTTCTCCAGGTCCTCCCCCATCCTCTGGAACTCACTGCCCCAATCCATCAGACTGTCGCCTTCCCTATTCACATTCAGGCGCTCCCTCAAAACCCATCTCTTCAGGGAAGCCTACCCCACCCTCACCTAACGGCCATCCTCCCTCATTCCTCCCACCACTTCACCCCCCTCAGCCACTTCCTACTGTACCTTTTACCCCCTCCCTCCTAGATTGTAAGCTCGTAAGAGTAGGGCCCTCTTACCCCTCGTACATTGTTTGTTGTTGTTGTTGTTGTACTGTGCCATGTATTGTCCCCCCTATTGTACAGCGCTGAGCAAACCCTTTGGCGCTATATAAACTCGTAGTAATAATAATAATAATAAGATCCCCAGGTATTATTTTAATAAATGCTACAGATTTTAAAATGTTGAAAATTACGTTAATGTGACAAACGGCATTTGCCCCATTCTATACCTGGAAGGGCAACGCATGTCAAACAATAAAGAGAGATTCCCACCTCAACTTACTGACCAGCCTACAACCAACCAAATTGTCCTGTCTAACAGTTCATGTTAAAAACAGAGGTTTAGTTTGCACGTATTTGCAAATAGATGTGTAAGCTGCAGAACCTCTTCATGGCACCCCAGTACACTGCAGTTTCTAACTATTAATTTTGAGAGCCTCCATAATAGAAGCATGTGTATAATAATGGATAGATTGAGGGCAGGTAAACCTGGAGGGAGCCCACCATTCCTTAAAGGCACAGGAGCGCACTGGACACCCAGCATATAGCACAATAGTGCGTCCCCTTGCCAATATATCAACAGTACAAACAGCAACCGCCCCAACCTATAACTGGCCTTCAGAGCAAGGAGTAAATGGAAGGGCGATGAATGTCAAACAATAACAAAGAAAGATTTCCAGCTCAACTTATCAAACAGCTGGCTGTGGGGACTCACCTGGAAGAAACCTGAAGAAAGTTTTATATATTATCAAACTTTCATTTCACTTTCAGCACTTTTTGAGTTTAAAGCTGGCCAAACAAGGAGTGATTTTTGGCCAGTTCCTGATTAAATGGATGAAATTCACTCAGTGGTGGCTCAGTGGGCCGCCGCCTGACATTCCTCAACTGAATAATCGAAGAAGTCTGGCGGGTATTTTGACAGCTGGTGGTTATAGGAATTGTAGATACAGTCAGATTATACTTATGGGAGGATTGGACATTGGGAAATTATAACTGGAAAACTGGTAAATTATAACTCAGCCCCCGGTATAATCCCTCCTCTACCCAGCATGCCTCAGTTGTTTGCTAGTGTTCTAAAAGGATAGACATCTTTTCTTCAGCTCTGCTGAGAAACTAACCAATATTTTGCAATCCTTTTTTTTTCCCAATTGCGTTATTGTTCCACCTGTTTTTGGTTGGTTCTGGTTAATCAGCTTCTTACTGGCTCAGGTTTGGTTCTTCTCGGGCCGTGACCTTCCCAGTACTGGTCTGGAGCATTAGGTTGAGCCTACATGCTATCCATTTGACCATGTTGGCAGGTTCCCCTATCTGTTGCATTGGGAGGGGGGTCTCAACCATTCAGATTCTAGTGCAGTTTGGGAGACAATAAGTTGGATTTCTTCCTCACATCCTCAACCATGAAACCTGGTGGGAGTGATAAAAAAAACATTTCCAAGCATCTAATTACAATCATAACTCAAAAACAATACATAAAAACTAAATGGAGTTGCAAAACATA